CCCGGAATTTTCAGACAATGTTGGTGTGTTTGATGTTTTTGTTTCTGGTAAATTCAAATGTAGATTGAAGATAATTTACGATTTATTTTTCATCACTCGATTTATATATATATAAAAACATTTCGAAGCAAAAAGACATGATACATAAACTACTCAAGCGACGAATCGATATTCCGTACGGTTCTTGAGAAAGCAAGAATGTCCTCCGGCTTGTGTGCACCACCGTTTCTTTTGCTGCCGCCGTCTCCGTCACCGTCTCCGCCTTCAACTATAGATTCGCGAACGATAGCTCTCGCCGTGTCGTTGGACTTTCCCGACTCATTGGCGGCCAGGGAAGATTGCACTATCTTCTTCTTGTTCTGTTCCTTCTCTATTCTCTCTTTCGTTGCCTCCATTTTTCACTCTCACTCACTCGCAGCTCTCACAAGAGTTTCTTGTAAGATCAGAGGACACGTGACACATTAGAAATGATTACGTGGCGGTGTTTGGTGTGAAGTGTAGAAGGATCTATAGTCTGGAAGAAAACATAAAGAGTTTTGAATTTTATGTTGGATACTCCACATTGACCAAAAGAAGAAATAAACGACGAACTTTGTGTTACGACTGCAGAAAATATTTTCAAATGTTTATAAGATCAGCTTCTTTAGCACTCATCTACTTTTATCTTTATTTTCGTTACTCTTAATTACTCTGTTTAATTTTTATACACTTGCAAGCGAAATCTCTGTTTCTCTTCTTAATCAAAGACAATTTTTAAAATTTAAATTAGAATTACTTATTTATTAAATTCTTTTTTGCAACAGATTTGTTTCTTGAAGTTGTTAATACCCGTGCAATAGGACTGGTCATCATACTAGTTACCAATATACCAGAAAACACTCTTTTCTGAAGTAGTATTTCAAGACTTTGAATAATTATGGACATGGCCCTAGCTTCTTGTCTGCTACTCTATGTAGCTTAAAAAATGAAAGATTAATTACACGTTAGCAGGATCCACCACTAGTTAGCTAACATGTATCTGCCTTTTACAATGTTAGGTTTGAGCTGAGGCATAAAAAGCGTACACGTGTTGGTGAAAATAAATAACTTTTGTCGGATAGCCTCAATTATTGATAGTTTGAAATGAAAGATTTTTGTCACTTTAGTGAAATTAAATAATTTTTGTGGGATAGCCTCATTTATTGACATCAAGACGTGTGCCATGGTCGTTTAATCGTGATTGGTAACAATTACAAACACTAGCAGTTTCTGGCCGAACTTCTTCAGATTCTCCTTACTTGTGAAACACTAGCGGTTTTCTACATTTGATATGGCTAACATATGGCGGATCTTTAAGCCAAGTCATGGAGTTTCTAAACTAGAGAAATTGCATATTCACCATCATTCCTTAGAACCTTCAGTGTTTTCATTTATTTGCTCTGGTTGCTCTGAAACTAAGAATGACGCACAAGGGTACTATTGCCCTGATTGCAGTTTCTATGTTCACAAGGAATGCGCCTGAGTCGCCCTCAGAGATCAACCACCCTTCTCATTCACACCCTCTCAAGCTCTGTTGGTGCGGACCACCTGATTATAGTGATGGAAGTTGTTCCTTGTGTGGAGAAACCCTTCGGCTTTTGGTTTATCATTGTTCCACTTGTAACTTTAGTTTGGACACGGCTTGCGCGAGGAAGCACGAGATTCCAAGCATTGACTACCCGAGAGCCCATGAGCATAGGCTTCACCTCTTGGCCAAAAATGTCTCCTTTCCCTGTGCTTGTGCTGAAGACATCCGTGGAGCTCCTTACGTGTGTCATCAATGCAATTTCATGATCCACAGAGACTGCGTTTTCTTACCGCGTGTGATCCACCTCACACGCCACGAGCACCGGATTTCTCGAAGTTACTTTATTGGCCCTGGGGAATTTACTTGTGGAGTTTGTCGTCTTGAGTTAGATTGGAGGTATGGAGGATACCGCTGCTCCAGTTGCCCTGATTATGTCATCCATTTGAGATGTGCAACAAGAGATGATGTGTGGGATGGAATAGAACTTGAGGGGAAACCCGAAGAAGAAGATGATATCGAAGAGCCATTCGAAGAAGTGGTAGATAAGAATGTAATTAAGCATTTCAGTCATGAACATTGTCTCAAACTCAACGAAGGTGGTATTGTTTGTCTTGAAACTATCCAATGCAGTGCTTGCGCTCTACCGGTCTACATGGATGCATATTACGAATGTTCGAGTTGTGCTTTTGTTCTTCACGAGACCTGCGCTAATTTCCCCCGGAAGTTAAGGCATGAGCTACACAAGCATACGCTTACTCTACGACCAAATACTACTGATGAGCATGGTAATAACTTATTCCATTGTACTGTGTGTCAACGGCTCTGCTGTGGCTTCAAGTACGTATGTTGCGAATCTTGCGATGTCGAGATAGATGTACGATGTTGTAAAATTCGGGAGCCGTTTATCCATGAAAGTCATCCGCAACATTCCTTGTTCCTTACTTCCTCAGAAGCTAAGGCTTGTGGTGTTTGTAATGAGATTGCACCATCTGTGTTGCATTGCGTTGATCGTGGATGTGACTTCGCTTTAGGCTTTGACTGTGCCACTTTGCCTAATAAGGTAAAACACAAATGCGACACACATTTTCTCTCTGTCTGCTTTGGAGAAAAGACGAGTGGGCAATACTGGTGCGAGGCATGCGATAAAAAAGTCAACCCAAATACAAGATTCTATACATGTGAAAAATGCAGCTCCAATCTTCACATCAATTGCGTGATTGGGGATTTCACATTCTGGAGACCAGGGAATATGGCCGTAGTATCATCACGTGTCGAGGCCAAAGTTGTTCCCAATGTTTTTACATCTCGACCAAATTGTTACATGTGCTCGTGCTGTTGCATAGACCCATCAGGTATCATACATATCTCAGGGAATTATATATGCTCCTCTAAATGTTTAGAAAACTATTTCATTAACCAAGTCGCACCCTCTAGAGATGGCACTCTTTGGCCATATTATTCGACTTGAACCATAGCTAGATCATTCTGTAATAACATCCTTTTCAACTCTTGTAAGGATTTTAAATTACACGAAATAGAATTTTATTATTTTTATAACAATAATAATTACATACGAGACGGTCGCACGATTCATTTGTTCATCTGGTACACAGATTTTGAAGTAAAAACACTTTAAATCACTCATCGTCGCCGGTAATTTCCACGACTCTCACGTTACGATTCTCCGGTGGAAGCGACGGCGGCGAAGAATACGAACCATCTTTCGCGACGAACACGACGAGAAATTCATCCTCCATCCACGCCGTGACCCGATCAGTCAAAGCGTTTTCGGGAAGCTTGAATCTGCTCATGAATTTGTCGTCTCCCGTACAGATCTGGAGAAATCCTTCATCGTCTACGAACACGATCGCTTCTTCCTGATTCGTTCCCGGAAGATACGCCTTAAAAACGTGAGCCGTCGGTGTCTCCGTCCAATTAAGCTGCGTCTCAACTCTCGACGATGGGAAAATTTCACCGGAAAGTGAAGGAAAATGGTGAGAAAGGAAAAGAGATGGTGATGGGAAATCAAGGAAAGTGTTCATAAATTCAAACGGTTCCCAGATTGACTCGCCGGAAGATAAACTCCGGCGATTATTGATCGGAATTATCGACATGTTCTTCTTATTCTACTCCGGAGAGAGTAACAGGGAGATGCTAAAGATATTAATAAGAGAAGATGTTCTCGATTGTTCTTGAAGAAGTGGTTGGGCCTAAACGTTAAAATATAAAGCCCAATGGGCTTTTCACAAGAAAGAGACAAAAATAGTA